GATTACGGTTTAGATTAATAGTTTTCAAAGATTTTCAACTACAATAGTTTAAGTTGCTTTGAATTCATTTAAAAGAAAAGTAATTTAAATTTTAACGTTAAGAGAATCCTTAACTATAATTTCTACTTTGATATTTATTTCATTATAACTGTGCTATATATTACAGTTCTTCAAGAAAGCCTCTTCTTAAAAAAATCTTGCGTGTGTGACGCGCTTAACTCAGTATTTTTATCTCACGCCGGTACTACAGGTTCGTGGTGTGAATAGTGTTATTTATATAGCTATATTTATATAGTTATGTCCATCATTGATGGGAACTGACGGTACTTAATGGCTAAATTTTGATTCGACGCGAACCATAATATTTTCATATCAAAATGCTGAGAATTTCATTTAAGTTTTATTGATTATTTATTCTCTTATGTTCTTTGTTAGTTTTCAATAATGTTACGATTTTTATCTTACGAGCTTGAGGTCGTAGGGCCAAGTGATCTGATATGATCATAAAACTGAACGTTATTACTTTGATAAATTAATTATGCCATAATCTTTATTGGCTATACATTAAATTGTGCACTACAGAATAAATAAATATATATTTCAGTAAACCGTTCGTCATGTTATTAAGTGCTTGGGATAAGAAATATCCACGTAGTTTCGATAGTTTACGAGAATGTATAACGTGACAGAGATGTAATCTATGCTCGTTCTCATGAGAGGATTACACATGTTTGGTATTCATATTTCCATGTGTACATGTTTTTCTTGACGTCCTAAATGTTGGTTTCCATTTCCAGTCTGATATTTGAGATCTTTTACTGTTTCATAATAGTTTTGGTCCTATGATGTTACCCTTAGGCACTCTTTGTTGCTATTCACGATTCGTGTAAATATTTCTGTATATTTGTATGTGATACTTTGTATAGATTGTACGAATATGTAAAAGTTTTTTTTTACTTTTTACTTTACATATAATTTTTACTTTACATATGGTTTCAGAAAGCACAAAGTCGTTAGAAATACGTTTTGTTCTTGATATTTCTGATCAAAAGACTTCGTTGAATCATAAATAATTTAAGTAAAAATATTCCGATCATGCTTCGATTCTACCGATCCATTTTCGATAAGACGGAATCATTAAAAGCCATTTTATATTTACGTAAGGCCAGTAAACTTGTTAAATATTCATGAAAAATATACGCTTATTATTTTTGTTTTTATTATAATTTTTAAATGGCGGCTCGCAATCTTAGTAGGTATTATTCAGTGGAGTTTGGAATCGTTCTCTCATAATGTGGATACATTTTTAACAAACATTTAACGGAAGGCGTGGGTGATGTAAGTAGCAACTGGGTTCTAAAGTAAGTAAATATCAATAGAGGGAGTCACTTGAAGACTTAAGTAGAAGCGACAAGACCAGCGTGGAAAAAAAGTTCCTTCAGTTTTCACACGATAAGTTCTTCAATCTAAAGTTGTGTTTAATATTCATTCGCCATTTTAGAATATTTCTTAGAATCTTACGAATAAAATTACGTTCGTTTCGTTGACTTGGTTCTTTTTCTTTAAAGGTATTAATTACGGCTATGGGTTTAATGGGATGGCATTATGCATCATATGCACTTCGATTATAAAGGCAATCATAACATAATTATGGACGACAAAAAATTATAACTGCATGTTATGAAGAGACGATGATTTCATATTTCCAGTAATATTTGTGTAAACATTGTTTTAGTGGGAGGTTTTCCTTTTAAAATGAAGCTTTGGAAAAAATATAATTATGGTTTCTAGCTTTAAATAAGGTGTGCATTGAGTTTTTTCTCTAAGGCTTAAGCTTGCTTAGGAAGAATAATTGTTAAGTAATAATTAGAAATAAGAATATATCTTTGAAGTCCTAGTCGCCGATCATTCGATTTAAGTGAGAAATAACATCGTACGTTTTTTGTGAACACGCATTCAATATAGATTTAAATGATGTACAGAATTGTACCGAATAATAATAGTTTGGAATTGCTTCACGAAGTCTCAACTAATCCACGCGTCTGTACAGACAGCAACACAATTTTGAACTCAGTAAAAAAACTTTATTACATTATTTTTTTTACTATAAACATCGCTATATTTTTTACCTAATTAGCCAAAACTAATTTGCCGAAACATATTCAAAGGATTTTTATGACAACGACAATAAAAATAATCAGTAGACGCCATAAAATATCTAAAACATCTTTATAACGTTGTTCTTAAAAAAATGTACGGGAAATAAATATTTCCTAGTATGTCTCGTATTTGGTTTGATTTATTTGCCTCTAGTACTAAGTCCTGTACTCTTTAATAGCCTGGGCCAATAGAAAAAGATGAATCATCAGAATTTAAACTAATTACGGGCCGGTAAGTAAAAAACCTGCTATATAATGTGGCTTGAATTGAGTCAGTTGGTTCGAATCCATCAGAAAATCACAGAATGAGTTTTTTTCTTGAGTCGGTACTATTGCCCTGTGGTTGGTCAGTAATGTATGTTTGATTACAATTACATGTTTTTGCCAAACTTTTTGGTGTTTAGAAAAAAATGACTAACTTTGAATGCGTTAAGGAACTAGAATTTGAATTCGTAACTATTTTTAATGACATGTGTTTCTTAGGAGTTTTTTTTTCGGCCAGTATATTTTTATTGCCTTTTATAAGATGCTCAAAATGAAAACAAATTATAAATTTCAATAGTTTCAAATGTCATAACTGATTGTTATCTTTATCGATTGGTTAAGGCAATATAGTTCCTATTAGTTTGGACATAAGAATGTCAAATTCATTACGAGACGTAACTAAAGAAATCGATATTCAATTTGAATATTAATTTATTCAATAAGGAAATAAGTTAATAGATTATAAAATTGACACGTTTTGGAATTTAAAAATATTGATGAAATTGATTTGGCAATACTTTTTTATATTGGATGATACATGCACTAATGCTCAATTCCCAGTCTTATGTTTTGTCAAAGAAAGACGTTCCGTTTAAATTAAAAATCACTCTTGATTTTCCTGGTTTTCTCTCATTGGTACTTTATTTAGTTTATATCGTAAGCATTTCATGAATTGTTAGATAGATCTTACACGGCTTACTTAAACTGACATAGAAATTACATTACTTTCCAGATCTATTCACGCGATATTACATAGATAGGTAATCCAGAATCATTTGTACATAGATTATGTTGTAAAATAATTCATCACTATCAGATTGTGTTTGATATGAATACTTCTTCGAGGCGAAGACTATTTTGTTAGTTATTGTTATTTTTAAACACAAAATGATTGACTGTTTCATTGACCAAACGATCGCTGAGGAAAGGGTAACTTTTTTAGGTTCCATTGGCGGATGAGGGTAATGTGCTACTTATAATTTATTGGGTAAAAACTGGTAGCCACACTTCGGGTCTCTTTTACAATATCAATGATTAAGTTGATGTTGGTTTACTAACGCAAAATTTGATGCATTTTTATATGAAAATGAAGTCTAATATTCATCAGAAAAACAGCGACTTTATCAGGCAAAGGTAATATTGGCTCTTTATTTTGGATTTCCTAGATTTTTATTACAGTAGGATTTTTTAATTCGTATAAATTATAGTTAAAAATAATGCAGTATTGCATAACTACATCCATTGCTAATACTAACCGCTTTTCTTTTGTTTATAAAAAAGAAAGCTTTAATGTTTGCGTTGACATAACTCGGAATTTTCTCTTTGTGTGAAGCAACGGATTCCATAGTCTGATGGTTCACAAAAATCTACGTGTTGTTTACAATCTTACAATCACAGTAATGATACTTACTTCAAAAATCTAAGACATAATTAAAGGTCCTAAGTTCAACAGGATAAAGCTGAAAATTGAAAGAATTTCTATCGTCATCTTCAAAGAAACGAAGCTTCATGTTTGGTAGCAAACTTCCAATCAGAGCCGACACCGTTCGGTTTTTATAACTCGCTATAAAATTACTCGATTCGCTTCATAAGGCGTCGACCCTCACACGAATTGTATGTTTTAATGAGTTATATATTATAGGATTGACGTACAAAATATTTAAATCCGATTACAGGCTTCTTTGTACCCAGGTTCGGGTGTGTGTGTACCTAACAGTGTTTTGATAGAACGATAAAAATTCTTAGACCAACCTAAGACTTTGACGTTTTATATGAATTATGCATTCTATAAATAATATTAATTACTAGGTCATAAATAAAGTTATTTTTCTGAATATTTTTACGATATTTTAGTATCGTAGGTATATTTTTTACAAATAACCTATTGTTATTAGTATCACAAGCCAAACATACTCTAATAGAATCCATCAGTTCAACTGTCATGTACTGTCCGAGACAGCGATATATTATTTGTTATCTCGAAGTACAATCACGAACGACCACTACTTAGACATTACTTAACAAATGGCATTCGTCTGTACAGTCGTCAGTCGGTGTTTTTTCATCATAAGTGTACATGAGCTTGAAAGTATAATCACCTTTTACTTATTAATCAAGATATAAAGATTTCTTAGAAGCCGGAGCTAGCTACGATCGAGAAACTTTATAAATATTCCGATTCCGAGTATTCGGGCGGATACGGCTACAGTCGGCTTAACATCTGCAACTTGAGTTACACCGGCTGCTTGTTACGTGCATACAAATTAGCTGTAGAACATACTACGTTCAGTGTAGTAGAAAATTAAAATGTGCAGGAAAGCGGCACTTTGATAATGTACTCAGTAAAAAAGAGTCATAATTACAGTAAGTTTATGCGTGATGACTTTGAAGAAATAGACTACTTTAGTACTTCCTGTGTATAAAAAGCGATTAGAGGATAATTTCAGGACGATAGTGGTCGCCTTTATGAGAGAGTTAATGTGTAATTTTATACTGCCGTTTGTAATTAAACTAATCATAGTGTACTCAGTGCAGGAATTAAAATGCAAAATTAAATAAATTGGGATTATGACGTACCTGTGGTCTCTCAAATGGTCCTGTCTTCTGAAAGCCTTTCCGCAGATGTCGCAGGAGTAGGGTCTCTCGTCGGTGTGAGTTCTTTCGTGGATCAGTAGGTTGTATGATTTAGTGAATTGGCGGTTACAGAATTTACATATAAACTGTTTCTTCGGTCTTGAGGCACGACCAGGGGCTCTGAGGAGCCGTCTGTCTAGATGTGGGTGCATCTGATGAGGACCTGCTCCAGGAGGGAATAAACCAGCTCCAGGGAAAGTAAAACTGCCTGCAGCTGTTGGCGATGGTCCAGGTGCACCAAGGAATGGTCCTGGAGGACCGTAAATAGGTGGTTGTGAAGACCCATCAGACATCATGCCTTCGATAGAAGATGTTCTATGGTGAGGAAGTAGCATTGCTGCTGCTGCCTCACGCAAAGCCACTTCCTTCCTCTTTTCTACCATCATAGCCATTAAATCAAATGAATTTCGTTTTGGAAAGTTTCCAGACGCTCTGTCCGGGGAGCCTTTAGCCGGTTCCGTTCTCTCTCTATCCATCATTCTTTCCCTTTCAATTATTTCTGACGGAATTAATGCAGGATGCATTTCGTTTGGATATATCACTGGGTGCATCGACCGTGTTGGTACAACTGGTACAAAGGCTGAGGTTTCACGGTGAGATGAGGTAAGCAAGGAACCTGTTGTCATCTGACGATGGTAAGGTAGGGGCGGTGATTCAAAGCTTCCTGAAGGATTTCGACCACTTGAGGAAGGCCTCTGTTGGGCTCTCTCAGCTGAGCTAGCAAGGAACTGGTCATGTCTGGACCTGAGAGGTGCGGCTACTGGTGTATCATTTACTGGGCGAGGTGTAGACGCCCTCGATACTACTGCTCCGGCGTTGTCCGACATCACGGTTTCAAGAACATCTGTAAATAAAATTTAGTTGTAGATATTGGAAAAATAAAAGATTAACAAAAATTACGTAACATTTCAAAAGGGAATGAGGTATTAATACTGGACAAACTATACAGGGCTATGGGAACGACGGAAAAAACATAAGAAAACATATCTGATACTTAAATAAAAATTCCATGCCATCTGTAAACATCATTAATGTTTCGTTTTCTATAATATACATGCAGACACCAAAATAATGATAAACACATCAATTAACAGCATTTTAATATTACCAGCTTAGATTCTTATCTCCATCTTTCGTTTGATCAGAGATACGGCACTTATGTTCATTTACCATCCCACGGTTGATGAACATTAAGATTTATGGAACGAGAATCATGCTTAATTAAACAGTCCTGCATTGTTACACTGTATTAGCATAAAACATAAATTCTCACCTAACAGATGAAATGGATTGAAATCAGATCACAGGCTTCGAACCCTCATTTACATGTTATTGATTTCATACTGTTTTATGGATCAGTCCCCCGTGGGATGCGTTCTGTCTAATTAGTGACGTAGTATTAATTAAAGAAATGTTCGTATGGGTGTTTCTTGTGTGAATTTTGATGCCACTTAACGCCTCTGGATTTGCGGTTTAGTTTTTATTTGCTTTTAGTGTTCAAAATGAGGGTTTTAGTAACATGTGAAGTTTAGTCAGTATTATAATAATAAAACTGAACACAAACTGATTTTCTTTTAAATTGGTGACGATTTTATGTGGTCTTTAGATGATCACATTATAAATATACGAGTTCTAAATAAAAACATACCTATTAAAATGCGATATCTATATCTCTTATAATATATACCTACTCCTTATCAAACATTAACATATAACTATGAGGCAAAACGTTTTGTACGAAATTTTATTTTATAAAGAATCTAGTTCTCTCATGCATCATTCATCAATTTATTCGTTTGTATAAGTTTTAAGCTTCTGGTAGTATCGGAAAATGCTAATGAGTACCGGATTTGGTCACAGTATCAACATTAGTGTCATTGCCTGATTTATAATCGAGTGCTCTTTGATTTGATTTTACTATAAACTTAAGTAATTTTGCTTTAAAATTTATTATTATTGTCCTTAAAGTCCTCATGTTTTTTTCAGCTTAATTGTGGATTGTGCTAATAAAATAGCGACTTATGTTATAAATTGCGTTTTTAATCGAATTAGTTTTAATCGACTTTATGTTCCATGTTTGACCTTATGCTGTAAATGTGGTGAGAATTCGAACATTATTTTTGAATTAATTTTGTAAATTATACTTATAATTTTTGTAAACATTAATTATATTTATACTTTTCTCAAACTTCAATATAAATGTTTATGTTTATATTCCTCGTAAAATTATTAAAAATAATTTATGATCATAGGAAAAAATGTCTAAAAAAATTTAAATAACTATAGGAACATTTTATTAGTCTATCAAGTGATTCGATATTTGAACAGCTCTAATAAAGTCACAAAGATTGCTATTCCTAGATTTATGAGCCCATCCTATTTCCATTTGAGACGAGCAACATGGTACGACAATAAAACAGTTTAAACTCTTGCGCAGCGTGTGTTTTCATAAAGTTTCCGGCGTCTGTATAGTTTATATTCCGCTGTCCGGTAATGGTCCCTTGTCTCTTGTTATTTTACTTTTATGTTCAAAGTTGCCAGTAATTTGAGTGTTTTCTTTACGCATCTCTGAAAGTGTGTGATTTCCACGGAGAAATGTTGGTTTTTTGTATGAGAAATTCTCGTGGAATTCTGATAGAAATTTCTGACTTTATTGTGGTTTTGATTTTGTTATACATTCGAGATTTCAGTCTTGTATAGGTACTTTTTATAGAGTGATGATTGTGAGTAAATTAATTAAGAAGTAACCTGTAATCCAAATGAGTTAGTTAAATTTTTTATAGTATAGCATACAGGTACGTCTATATTAAGTAAAACAGAGCCATAAAATTTGATTACATACCGGTTATTTTAATCTTATTGTTGTAACTAATATACGCATAGATATATATAACCAGATTAAGAATCAAGATACTTCAATCCAACATAATCTCACTCGTAAAAAACACATTTTATAGCTCTGCCCATCATATTTTTAACATCAGAAAAATCTAGCCGTCATTTATAGCAACTACAAAAGATTCATCTCAAATTCAATTTATTCAAGCGAGATCGAAAAAGGTGTACCAAGCCCGCATTTCACTGTTCGCTGCCCGTTCTACCGTAAAAGCCTCTGATTTTGTTGCTATCCTTCTCACACTTATAGCTAAGTAACATCCGTCTCCCTCGCACTTGGGCCGCCTGATCGAATTTCTACCATCTTACTTGCACCGAAGCAGTAAAACTACTTTTATCTCTCTTTCGGTTTGAAAATTTAGTGATATGAATATTTATGTGGACAGTGCAGTTAGTAATGGACGTCGGGATGTAATACCGGTCATTTCAATAACATAAACCTTTTAAAAGGAATACTTTAAAGCGATCTCCTTGGAAATTTAAATTTCTCGTATTGAGAGAGTACCTACGTGTGTTTACAACTCTGTGGAGATACGCTCGTATCTCTATGGCTCTGATATGTGATGTCCGTTTGACTGTTGATCTCTTATGTTTTGATACGAAGAAGAAATGTATAAGGTTTTTGTAGGATATTAAGTTATATTGAACGTTTTATTTCATTGTTTTAAGGGCTCTTAAACATGTTCAAGTCTCTCAGAGACGAATTAACAAAAGCAGATAGACAAAATCGAACACAGTCTCTTAAAACAACGACTGTGACGCCTGGCTACTATCGAGTTACACGCAGAGCGCAAACACATAGACACGAAGGACATTAAGGACACATAGACACACACATAAATTATGTCATCATTTCTAAGTGGCATTATGTCCGCTTTTTTTCAACTTGCTTGGGCACATCGATACTTAACAGTCTATTATTTTGAAAAAATCACTTTTGACAAAAGCTTTCAAAGAAAGGACATGAAACAACAGCAGAATATACAAATACGATGCCATTAAGACTGAAAAGACCTCACAATATTAATGTTTATAACCCTCAAAGAGATCAACCAAATTACATTCAGCTCCTTACAACGCAACTGCCAATATAAGTTAATACAAGTAAAGTTAACCACGTTGTAATATTGTACTATAATTATCAATCCAGAGGTATAGTTTATAATGATGGTAATTATTCGAATAATTATGTTTATCAACATTGCCATCTTGAGAACCTATTCTACTGATTTAGGATCTAAATTATTGTTTGAAGAACCTCCTTTGCTGTGTATCTACATTGAATGAGACGTGTCTACGTGTAGATATTAGGAAGGCTGCCCTGAATCCACTGCGTGTAATGTGGAGAGTTTTGTTCTCTGTTCGAATATCTTAAAATTTACAACATTTAAAATGCAGTATAACGTTCGCTATACTGTCTTGTAGTGATAGGGGTAACGGACTATTTGGTTTAAGCGACATTTTGGTCGATATTGAGTTATATATATATTCGGAATCAGCGAATTTTTCTCCGTCGAATGTATATAATAACTCAATATCGCCCAAAATGTCACTTAAACCAAATAGTCCGTTACCCCTCGCAATGTACTTCTATACTTTTAGATAAAGCATCTGTGTTTTTTGGTGATGGACTAGTCAGCTTACATCTCCTACCAACTTATAGCCTTCCACACCTGACTACCTGTAAGATAAACTGGTTTTATACACCCTGGAAAGTCTGGTATGGCTCCGAGTACTGGCACAGAATCCAGAATCTGAGATAATACGATCATGTCCTAATGGTACTAATTGTTATCTATTTATTTATGAAACAAGCCAATGTGTTGAAAATAGGCAGTGTGGTTCACGTATTATAGAGTGTATTAGTACAACAATATGTGACGGCGATTTGCAAATTAACAACACAAAGCAAAATCGAACGAACCGATCCTAAGACAATAGGAGTTTAGTAAAACCCAGCAATTAAATTCAGTTTTTACCACGGTTTCATTCGCGTAGAATACAAGTTTCGACAAAATTATTGATCCGTTATGATTGAGTAATAAATAAACATTCTTTCTTCCATGGGAACTAACGCAAATTGAGGATGTTTGATGGTTTTTGTCTCCCATTATGCAAGCTTCTTTATTTGCAAATGCATTAGTTATTACTTCTCTTATTATATCTATGGTAATGATGATAAACTAGACTAAAATGATACACTAGATAAGCCGATTAGGAAGAAATTTTACATTGGAATATTTGATTCCAATGTAAAATAGCGACATTCAACAATTCAATCAGGCAAGAAGTCGAATAAATTATGGACCAAAGCCTCCTGCAAAAGCATGTCGAGGCGGTACGTTTTAAGTAATTTTGACTGTCAGTTACAAAACACTATTAAAACATATTGAAATTTATGGATCGAGATACACGCCTAATAACTAGGCTGGTTCTTCTCATGACACCTCCAATTCACACTGAATATTTCATTGCGATCTCTATATTATTCAAGTGGATGAAATCATTAACATTTTAAAATGAATATTCAACAAATTTTAATGTTAACACAATGTTGTGATGGGAATCTAAATTTTTAACTAGATGAGCAGATAATGCTCTTACGTCTCCATTTTCTATATTGTCTTCTGATTCATGGTTAATTTTATTATCATTTTCGTTTGTAGCTCTTTGTTCGTTCTTCTCTCGTTCTTCTACTACATGTAGTTATCACCATTTAAATCAACTATTTCATTTCAACACAGTAATTACTATAACCATATTTTTCCCATCTACGTTGAGTAAACTGAATTGCGAGAAATAAAGGTCCTTCATGGTGAAGAGAAGATGTATATCTCTACCGAAAATAATTTGTTTTTAACTAGAGCTCAAGATAGATTATGTTTGTAATATCTTTTAATGCTAGAGGATCATAATTTATATTGTATTTGCTTCTCAGATTTACCAAAAATGTTCTTTATCAGGTGTCCGTCTTATGGCTTGCCACTCAAATAAAATGTTATTTAAATCTTGTTTTTAGATTAGTCGCATTCTGGGTCTTATCTGGCATCAAGTCGGCATTTCGAGGAAGGTTTTTTAAAATGGCGCTTAACTGTTTGCTGTTACGCGAAAACAAGTGTTACTTAGTTTGATGCATGACGATAAACCGTAATATCTGCTAATCAGTTTAATGAATCTCTTTGACATTTGCCGATGGTTAATTGCTTTTTAGATGTATAATTATCTCCACTTTCCTCGTTTCAATTATCTTTACTTTTTCTTATTAAATCAGTTTTAACAGGTTTTAACTAACACATTATTATAGTGTTTTGTGACTGTTCAAAAAGATTTCTTGTTTATTGT